CCTTGAGAGCCAAAACAAGGATATTCATGGCTGCAACCTCATTCGGCTTTGTTTCTTTGGTTTAACTACTTTTCAACTATTTCCAGGCTTCAGTAATAGTGTTCTGTTCCCTGAATTATCCACTGCCCTAGGCTGTCCAAAGTTGTCTTAAGGTTTCGTTTGGGGCAGGAGAAAGAAAAGGAAAAGATGGAGATGAATCCTCCTCTTATCTTGCAGGCACTGTGGTCCAAATTCTTCATCTTCTCTTGTAAAGATAAATCTGCAACTCATGATTTAGGAGTATCATCCCTTCCCGTTGCCCCCTTGCACCTCTGCAAGTTCTAACTGAATATCCACATACTTTCTCCAATAGAAAAGTGGATTTTGATAAGGATTTAAAATGTATACAGCTGCAGGCTGAGGTCTGGGCTCTCAGGCTTGAAAATTTGAACTGCAAGGATTTCTAGAATCACACAGAATTGTTGAGGTTGGCAGAGACTTTTGGAGATTGTCTAGTCCAGCCACCCAGTTTGAAGCGGGTCACCAAGAGCAGGTTGCCCAGGACATTGTCCAGTTGGGTTTAGAGTCTGTCCAAGAAAGAGGCTTTCCTTAATGTTTATATAAAATTTCTTCTATTTCATTGCCCAATGTCCTTTCAGTGGACAGCACTGAGAAAAGTCCTGCCTGTCTTTTTGCTGCTTTCCATCAAGTATATATATTGACAAGGTACCCTTTGAGCTTTTCCTAAGCTCAGGCTAAACAGTCCCAGCTCTGTCAGCCTCACCTCGTGTCTTCACAGCCTTTTGCTGTTCCTTTACATCCATGTCTAGCTCATGCTGGAGAGCCCAGCACTGGACCCAGCAACCCAGGTGGCCACACCAGCACTTAGCGGAGGGGCAGGGTGAAGGCTAACCTACCTGCCTGGCGATACGCTTCCTAAGGCAGTCCAGGATCCTGTTGGCATTCTCGATGAATAGAGCCCAGGAGGGTGTAATCTCTTGATGCTTATATGTAACTTTGTGGAAGCTGGTAGCAGTTACATGTCTGTATCAAAAGCAGAGTACAAACACCCACCAGTGCTTTAAATACCTTTTAAAATGAGTCAACTATCTTTGAAATAACCACTACTGGGGGGTGGGGAGGGGGGGTGTGTGTTGCCATGTTTTTGTCATTCTGTGATAAAGGTCCTGTGGTAAAGTAGTTAGAAAGCAAGACATTTTTGGTGGGCCAAAAAAAAGTATTTAAGATGCAGCAAGATGCATGTGCTGTCATACTGAGAATAGTCTTGCAGTACTTACAAAAAAACAAAAACCCACAATCCTTTTTCTCCCCCTTCTGCTGTGCTACTCAAGTAACAAAAGTTTGGCCTATGATAATTACTGTAGTTCATGTTCATGGAAAACTGTAAAAAGTCTGCTTTTTATTTATCTTCTTGGTCTGTATCACATGCTGTTTATTAAAAAAACCTACTTCGTTTTTTATCACACTTTCGAGTGTTAATGTATATACACTAACTAAATTAAAATAATGTGGTTGATACACTTGTGAATTCTGAAGTGAGAATTCAGGGAATCTCAAGTCTTGAAGGTGTTATTTGGTGTTGCAGCTCTGCTTTCAAAAAAGGCTAGAAGAAAGGACATAGAAATTCTGTACATCAGTTAATCTGGGGGGTAACATGGAATTTGCGTTACTTACAGATGGGCTGTCCTAAATACATGTGGCATTTGGTTTTTGTACTTGTTGATCTTCAAAATGAGTAACTTAGATGTGGGTTGTCAAAGTTATCATAAGAGAGCAGATGTTATTGAAGTGTTCCAGCTGGAAGGAAGTCTGTGCTACATAAGTCTGGTTTTGAAAAACATTCCTCATGCTTTCATTACTGAAACTATACCAAAAAAACCACCAGAATAAATACAAAAAAAAAAAAAAACAAAAAACCCACCACCAACAAACTAGGCTGTATTTTTGGATGCAGTGCTAATTTTGAAAGAGCAAAAACCAGTCTGGGAAATTAAGTCACTGGTGCATGTAAGAGCATGGAGTTGCAGTGGAATTGCCTCTGTGGACATGTTGGTCTGCTTTGGACTTCAGTTGCGAACAAATTGTTACCATGGGAGGGATTTGAGCTCTCTAGCTGAGAATTCCGCTTTTTTGGAGGGACAAGGAAAGTGTTAGTGCTTTTAATCAGGTCACTTCTACACATCTTTGTCCCCAGTAACCTTTGGCCTTTGTATGCTGGTCAGCTCTTTCCAATCGCTGCTGCCTAGCTTTGAAAACAGCTATGTTCTAATAGGTTCTCCATCTGCACTGGATCAAACTCCATAATAAAAGGTGGACATAATTATCCTTACATTTATTTTGAAGCTCAAGCTGAGCTCTGGACTGGAGAGAGCATATCAAAGAATGGCTGGTGATTTTTGAAGTAGCTAGTTCAGTAACCTGAACTGTCAGATTAACCTTCTATTACAGCAAAAGGTGAGTTTTAAATTTCCTAGTAACTCTGAAATGGTTATGAGCGGTTAGTACCTTGTTTTGAATACATGGGATGGTTCAGGAGAAGGGGATTTTTGTTCAGATGCAAATTTTAGACTTTAGTGCCATTACCATTTGGGGTAGTTCTGAGTCTTGCCCCTAAAGCATAAAAGGATTGTGGAAAACTTGCAAAATTATGCAGTGAAACAAGAAGGACTTGCAATATGGGCAGTTTGCTTTAGCATCAGAATCTCAATGAGCCCTCCTGACTTTATGCTCAGAAATCAATCTGGTTTCCAACCTGCACTGGAAAAACTTGAATCAAAATCTGAACCTACGTAGCAAAAGAGCAAGAAAACTGATGCTAGACAAGATAGCTCAGATAACCCCCCCACACACACATGTCCTTTTAAACGCTAATATTCTTCAGCAAAGATTATTATTGTGAGCTGACATTACTACTTTCATTGAAGAAAGGACTTACTCCATCCTTATTTCAGAAAGGATGAATCCCTGCTAATTGAAATGAGCATCATTCGTGGTACTTATTTAAAAAATAAGGTGAATATGACATGGGCATCTTAGGTTTTCATTGGGACATAGGTGCTGTTGGGCTGTGCTGCTTTGTGTGGAGAAGAAATCAATCAAAAGGTATTGAACTGTGCTTAGCCAAAGTCTGTCTCACTGAGCAGGACTGAATTCAAAGAAAAGTTGGGGTTTTAGTGTTTTGGTTTTGTGGGGTTTTCAGGGTTTTTTTTCCCCTTTGCTTCGGCAAATTACAGATTTTAAATTCTCATTACTGCCCTCCGCTGGGAACTGGGGAAAGTGGGGTTTTTCAGAATATTTACACCAAAAGCATTATGGTGAGCAGAGGGAGAAATACGTAGGCATCCACCCACTGGGGTGGCTATAGCCAATTTATGACAACTTTAGCACAAGGTGTCCTGGAAAAACCTCAGCTTCTATGGCTGGAATAAATAGCAGAGAACAAAATGAACTGGGATGCCAGGATCTTGTCTGTAATTCAGCTCACAAGATAATGGATACACCACACTCACACTGCTTGAGCCCTCAGAAATTAAGTGCCTTCAAAAGGACACCTTTACTCATATTCATGCTGTTTGCCATCAAAACTTATGTATAACCACAGGAAAAAGTTCTTTCACATCTCCCTAGAGACATGTTTCCAATGTGCAGGAAGGACAAAGGCTAGAGGTAGGATTTTATAAACAGCATAAGTCTGATCTCAACTTCCAACTGGTGAATAAAACTGAGGCCAGAAGCAGGGTGTAATTTTTACTTTTACTGGTCAGTGGAGCAAAAACACGGCATGTTGTGGATTTTGTGCTAATTGAAAGGTTTACCTTAAAATTAGGCAATTTCAGGCTAAGCCAGAGCTCCATGAATGAAATGCTTGGTGAAATTCCATCATCTATTTTGAGTCCTCAAACTAAGTGACTGTACTGGTCTCCCTTTGCTCTTCAAACCAGAAACTTGTTTTTCAAAATAATAAGATGCTGTTTGAAATGTTCTGCTTGTTGGAGAAGTTACTGTGCTTTCCTATGGCATTAAAAAAGTGAAGGCAGAGTGAGCAAAAAGGGGGAATTATTTTTGTTTTTGTTTTTTGTGATTGTAACTTTGGAAAACCTTGAGATGAGGGAAATTGATTCATGTTGATTTTAAGCTTTAAGGGTCAGTTTCCGCAATGACACAAAAATCACGACCGTGGGTAACTAAACGACACCGTTTTAGACCCCCCCACCCCGGCTGCGACGGGGGCTGGCCGGGGTCAGAAGGCGCCCGCGCAGCCGCCAGGCGGCGCCCTCCCGCCGCGGCCTCGCAGCGCCCCGCCCGTTCCCCCGCGGCACACGGGAGGCGGCAGAGGCCCCGCGGCTGGGCGCGGAGCGGAAGGTGAGTCCCGGCGGCGAGACCAGAGGGGAGAGGCCACCAGCGTCGCCCGCCGCTCCGGGGCGCCCCGCGGCTAAGCCGGCGCCCGCCTCTCCCTAGCGTTTTACCGCGCCGGGTGCGGCCTGCGTGCCACTGACCACCGCCTCGCGCCCGCCCCCATCTTACCTCTCGCCCCGGCGCCATTTGAAGTGTGAGTCCGCACCCGGCGCCCCACGGTGGCGGCTCCGGTCCGGGCCCTCTCTCTCTCCCCGAGGGCTCGCCTCTGCCTGCGGCTTCCCCGCCACTGCCTGCGGGGCGGGGCGGTGTGATGCCACGCTCCTGCCCGGGGTTCCACGCTGCGGCCTCCGGCTCCGGGCTCCGCGCAGGCCGCGGCGGGGGCTGCGGGGATCTCTCTGTTTAGGGCCTTGTTGAGCCTTTGCCATAGCCGCGCCAAACCGCCGGGAAGGTTTACCGGGAAAAACCGCCGGAGAACAACAGGCGCTACCGTCCCTCTACCCGATCCGTGGGTAAAAGGTTAACAGGGATGAAGATTAGCCGCGGTAATTGGGATAAAACGTGCTGCCTCAGTATGCTGTAGGTTCTTCCCTCGCAGTCAGAAGTGTTGCGGGTACTGGATGATTCCAGACGGCAATAAAACATAAAACACCCAAAACTATTTTTTCCATGTAATTCTCTCTTTAAAATAAAACTTGAATTCAGACAAATTACTGTATCTCATGAGAATTGCATTTGCTTGATGAGGGGTTGTTTCTCCCTGCTTTCATCCCCGGGTGGATGGCATTGGCTTCAGAAGATCCTAGGCCCCTCCTGAGTGCTTTAGTACAAATCACATCAGATTCCATGTTTGGAGCCCTTTCTTCAAAATTATTTAGACCTAAATGTCATAGGTCCAAATACAAAACACAAAACTACATAGCTCAAGTATATTTGGTGTTGTCTCCAAGTATTTTCTGTTGTCAGGAGCAGCCAAGTGCAGCGAAAACAGACTAAGCTGGGACCAAAGTAAAAGAAATAGTTCCTCTACCTTCCTTATTTTGATACTCTAAAATTAATACTAACTTTTAATGTTGTTTTCTAGCTTCAATTTCCATAGCTTCATTCTTTGTAATGCTTGTGCATCTGATTGTGGTTTTTTATTTATCTTGTGCTGAAGTTTTAATGCGTTTTAAAATGTCACTTCATAGATGAAAATCTTCTCAAGCTGATCTCTTTGCTACTTTTGGAAGCTATACAGCCATCAGCTACTTGGCTGTTCTGCATGCTACTACTGAAGAGTCTAGGATATTTTGGTAAGGGAGCATGACTTTTTGGATGTTTTCAACATGAAAGTTTTATCTGAAGGACTCTGCCTCAGAATAAGCTGGTCTCTGACAAAAAGCAACAAGGTGTTGGAGAACTGCCTCATAAGTTACACTGAGTTCTTGAATGCCCAGAGTCCTGACCAGTCTGGCTTTATGGTGAACCTTCTTTTGTTTCAGGGTAGAAATACAAAATTAGACTTAAGTAGTTTCATTCTTAACTTTAAAAAGATGGGGGGGGGGGAGTAGGAACAAAGTTCTTGTATTTAATATGCAGGTTTTCAAAATTATTGTTTAATGAAAGATAATACATACAAGTCTAACTCTTGAGTATTTTCACTTTACAGTCCATTTAGGCCATTCAAAATGAATGAACATCCTAAAAAGAGGAAAAGGAAGACTCTACATCCTTCTCGATATTCAGGTCAGTCTAGAGCTTGAGTTATGTAGGATTTTCTCAGACTACTTACTTAATGAGAACGGACGACGTGTGCTAATATCTGGAGAATCAGTAACATAAAGGGTGGGACAAGAAGCTGTGGTCCAAATATATTGACTTCTACCCAAGTTGGTAGAAGATGTGTGGCTGATGAAGAGAATTGTGCTGAACATTCAATACATACGTAGCTATATCAATGCATTAGCATTAAAACCTTCTTTTGTTTGTTTTAGATTCTTCGGGTGCAACCAAATACATAGACAACAGTGGCATTTTTTCTGACCACTGCTATAGTGTCTGTTCTATAAAACAGCCAGATATAAAGTTTTCTGAAAACAGAGGTAAGACCGTGTTTTGGGGTTTTATTATACAGTTCTTTACTAAGTGAGTCGCACTCCTATTCTTTAGAAGTTCACAGAATACAAAATACGTAGTGGATGACTTCTGAGCATCATTGTGATGAGATATGCCTCAGACTAGGGGAAGTCTGTTTAATCATTCTAATGGAAATAAAATTTTCAAAGTCGAATCAGTGATGACAAAAAAAGATTCTTCAATGTTAGATCTATAATGATGATTAGACTACTTTGTCTAAATGTCCACTAGCTAGGTAATGTAAAGCTGATGAAAATAACCTTGAGAGTCCAGGTGGAATTTACCACCCATTGCATTGAACTGTACTTGTACTTACAGAAAACCAAATACGTTTTTATAAGATGTCCACTGGTGGATGTAAAGTTTAGCACAGCAAATGGGAGGATGAATTTTTATTATATTTATTTTTAGTCTCATCATTTAGTGAGCAAGTCTCCAGAGGTCTTAAAGCATTAAAATGTCCAGAAATATTTAAGAACATGCTTTTTAAATTGTGTCTTAAATGTGAAGTTTCATTTAAGGATTTTCAGTTTTTTCTAGTATAATCAACTGACTATTTTTTGCTGAAATGTTAAAGATAGAGTTGCCACCTTTTGAATTTTTTTTGCTGCATTATGTACATATGGAAATAATTTCTAAGGTTTTTATTGTTACTTTCTTTAATGTAGGTTATGATGTGATCTGTATACAAACTTATGCAGCTAAAATGCATAAATAGCAAATGAGATCTGTGGTTAAATCAGAGAATCATGATGATGCTCGTATGGGCAAATGATGTCAAGAAGACCCTTCTTTTATGTTTGCAGGTAGATTCCACAGTCCGGCGCAGAGTGTGGACACAGATGATGATGGGAGTCCAGTGCATGCTGGGACTTCTCAATGGAGTGGGTCACATCCAAATGTGGGGTTCCACTATACAGACCCTAAAAAGAAGGATAAAGGTAAAGGTTGATGTGTATTTGCAGCTTAGATGCTGGGAATCTGGAGAGCACATCAGCTGGCTTTTACTGTGATGTTTTTTCTTTGACAGAAGAGGTGAAGGATTTGTAGTTTCCATTATTTACTTGTTAAACATAAAACATTGTGGGGGCTGAGGAAAAGTAACTGCTTCTTGCATTTGTAAGCTGCTACAACTAACTGAAAAGTTAAATATGGATTTAGGTGTCTTGCAGGGTTGTTTTAACCTTTTGCTTTTATTATCTGTTTCATCCTTCAGATAAAGGTACTAATAATGGAATGTGCAGAGACTTATGTGATTCACCTATATTCAGTGACAGCCCTACAGATGAAGAGAAACCTCTAGATATTCAAACTGTAGAAATTTCTACAACAGAAGTGAATGCTGTAGAAGTTCATGATATAGAAACACAAACTGTGTCACCTGAAAAACTAGAAGCTGAGGACCTAGAGGAGATCCCTCTGGAAACCTGTAAAATATTTGAGAAGAACCAGGCTTTGAATATCACAGCTCAACAGAAATGGCCTTTACTGAGAGCCAACAGCAGTGGCTTATATAAATGTGAGCTCTGTGAGTTTAACAGCAAGTATTTCTCTGATTTAAAGCAGCACATGATCCTAAAGCATAAGACATGTACAGACACTCATGTCTGTAAAGTTTGTAAAGAAAGCTTCTCCAGCAAAGTGCAGCTCATTGAACATGTAAAACTCCACGAGGAGGATCCATACATCTGTAAATATTGTGATTACAAAACAGTGATATTTGAGAATCTGAGTCAGCACATCGCAGACACTCACTTCAGTGATCACCTTTATTGGTGTGAGCAGTGTGACATGCAGTTCTCCTCAAGCAGTGAGTTGTACCTGCACTTCCAGGAGCACAGCTGTGACGAGCAGTATTTGTGTCAATTCTGTGAGCATGAAACAAATGACCCGGAAGATCTGCATAGCCATGTGGTGAATGAACATGCATGTCGACTGATAGAGTTAAGTGACAGCTATAATAACAAGGAGCGTGGGCAGTACAGCCTCATAAACAAAATCAGTTTTGACAAATGCAAGAACTTTTTTGTATGCCAAGTGTGTGGCTTTAGGAGCAGGCTGCATACCAATGTCAATAGACACGTAGCTATTGAACACACCAAAATATTCCCTCATGTTTGTGATGACTGTGGGAAGGGCTTTTCAGGTATGTTGGAATATTGCAAGCATTTAAGCACTCATTTATCTGAAGGGATTTATTTGTGTCAATACTGTGAATATTCAACAGGACAGATTGAAGACCTCAAAACTCATTTGGATTTCAGGCATTCAGCAGATTTGCCCCATAAATGTACTGATTGTTTAATGAGGTTTGGAAATGAAAAAGATCTCTTAAGTCATCTTCAGATACATGAGACAGTGTAATTGCTGTCTTTCCCTGTAATCAGTTTTTTAGGACTGAGATTAATTTCTAGTCACTGAAATATTATATTAAATACAATTTTAACAGCAGTTCTAATGTTTTCATCTTTATGTCAGGAAAGCATGCAGAACAGCTTGGTGTTGTGAATTTCTTTATGTAGGGGTTTCAGTAGGATTAATCACACAGTGTGACGGATCAGACTCTGGGGGGTAGGGACAGTGGAAGTAGGTGCATGTTGTGATAGTAGTTCTGATGGTCATCCCATGCTTTCACATGTAATGTAGAAGATCAGCTTTCCCAAGTTTAAAATAACACAGAGGCAACATCCATTTCCATGCTTAAGTAATGCCATACTGATCTCAGCTGCGTGTCCAGCTCATGTTACCTTCTGCAGCAGCAGGTCATTGTGCTGACGTTCAGCAAATTGCACCAGCATGCCGAAGATAAGGGTGTTCCAAAAATTCCGAGGCATGGACTTCTCGAAGTTCACATGCAGGCCTACATTTCCCACCATGTACTCGTGTTAAGCTTTGAAAATTGACCTGTTTTTCTCCTGTGGTACCTATCCGATACCATCATTCACTTCCTTTGTTCAGTGTTTAATTTCAACTACTGTCATTGGAACATCCAACAACCTTCTCTTCGACACACTTGCTACAGACCTCCTATCTGCGTGATTTTTGTCTCCTGTATTTACCTTGTTCCTATCTTTTAATGCACCAAGGAGGCACGCATTGCTTTTGTGTAGATTGGGTCATGTTTTAAGGAGTAATTGCAAGGGAATTTCCAAAGTTATCCAGCTGAGTATGTACAAAGTGTGATTTTCTTATTTAAAATACTAAATTAGCTCCTACAGTGAAATGATGTATATCACCAACCTCATTTAGAGCAAGCTTCTATTAGTCTGTATTATAATTCTGTATAATTAGCTTGCCACTGCTACTAATTTGAGGACCGTTATTTTAATTCTGTAGGTTTTAAACGTCTATATACTGGCTTAAAACACTGGTGCAGTACTTCCTAAGTTTAATCACTTTCAAATGCTTTCACACATTTGTTGAGATTAGATAGTGCTGTCCTGCCATTATAATCATTAGAAGCAAATCTTTACAATTCATTCTGTAGCTGTATTTCTGAGCGGATGCTTGGACAGATAAAAGCAAGGGTGAGGTCATTTGATTGTGCTAGTTACCAGGGTGAAATTACTCAGAAGTTAGCGGTGGAGTTTACATTTCTTCCTGCCCTGATTGTAAATTTGTAATGTAAGATTGTGTAATGTAAGCTTTGTATAGATTTAATGAATGTATAAAACATTTCTTGTTCAGTAAGATTAGGTGTTACGAGCTTCAAGGCATGCAAGGTTGTGTTTGAATTTTAAAGCTAAGGATAAAAATTGGCTGAATCTAGTCACTTTGTGGAAGTTCTAATTTCTAGAGGAAGTATTTCTGGAAAGCCTACAATGAACTAGTTAGCGTGTATTTCTTTGCAGGAGGCAAGTCCATTTTCATCACTTTGAAATGCTGATTTACTACTAAATCTTTTATGTAGTTGTTGCACAGGGCAACCTGATGGTGTCCTGACTGTATTTTATTAGTCCATTGTACAGAGAATGGCAATGTCTGTGGTAGAATTGCTAATTTCCTATTTTGAACACATCCTGGCTGGCTTAAAATGGTTGCAATAATATAGCTAGCAAAGCACTAATAAGAATTATTTTTTATATGGAAAGTTAATTTTGTTCATATGGGTATAATTGGGGGAGGTTCTTGTAAAACCTTGCCCTTAGTGGTAACACACAAGTGAAATCATAGAATCATAGAATGGCTTGGGTTGGAAAGGACCTTAAGATCATCTAGTTCCAACCCCCAATGCCACAGTTGAGCTCTGGAGAGAAAGCTACTCCAGGGGATGGCAAAAACCGGGGGGGGGGGGCAGAAGGGCATGTAAAAAAAAAAAAAAAAGAAGTGAGCACATGTGTTTGTATAGACCAGCATTGTGTTCTGTACATAAAGGTGGCCTCTAATAGAAGCAGAGTGCCCCATGATAGAGAAAAGTTGTTGCTGACTGCTGAATAACTATGTCATGTCTATCTTTGAGTTGTGTTACTGCTAATCTCTAAACTGGGAATTACAGAACATCCTGTTATGAAGCCAGATCATCCCTAATTAAAATGCACCTCACTGTGTCAAATTAGGAAATATATTCAAGTTTTGTCTTAGGTTGGATTTTATAAATAAGGGACTAATGTTAGTATTTTCTTTAATACCTACCAGAAAGTAAATGGAAATGTACTGGAGTAGCTTGACTCATTTTACCTCAGTAGGAACACAGGTAGGATATCTGCTTCCACATGATCAGCATGCTAAAACAAGAAAGATACTAAGTAATAGAAAAAGTAAGTAATGAGTGGAGTCTGTCTAGAAGTTGGAAGGCCAAAAAGAATGACTGTACATGCCAGAAGCAGTATGTTGTTGCCATTGAAGGGAAGACAGGAGTTTGGCTTATTTATGTGATGCACGTCAGTGGAAGGTCAGTGCTCTGACATTGCTGCACCGAAGTGAACTGAGAGCACGTGAAAGCAGCTGGTCTGACGCTGCTGGAGACTTGTTGGTTTTAACCCTGTAGCTCCAGCAATTCATCACAATCTTGGATGAGAGAAATTAGCTGTATGAATTAGTAAAGTATGCCAGTATTATATTTTTTTTTCTTTGGGACACTCAGTATATCAAATCCAGTTGTTTGTTACATGGATGCCCACAAAGTTAATCTACTCCAAGAGCAGCATTCTACCTAGCAGCTATACGAACAAGAGTGGGTTTGAAAGTATTTTGTATCTGCAAGTAATTTGTATCTGAGTCTTTTTTTTTTTTGTCTCCCCCCCACCTTTGGAGCCTTCAGGTTATATGTGTATCATGTATTTCAGCTTCCCAGACTATGTTTATGAAGAAAACTTTTTTATATGAAACATTGTTGGCTTTAAAACACAATTTAAATCTCAGCCGTTATTGTAAATACTTGAAATACAACAAGCTAGTAATTCTCAAATAGTGTGTTCTTTATAATGCTTATTGTGTTGGTGATTGTCATTGTGGTTGTTCTCATTCTCTTATGCTCTGTGTATCGCATGTATAAATTATCGGTGCTTTTTAACTCTTGAAAGTAGTTTGTCATTTTAGCCGACTCTGATTAAACCATGGTGCTGACAGTACGCAGGCGTCCGGAATTACGCTTCCCGTCTTTTTGTCTTAGGTCCCCGTGCAAACGCTGAGGGCCCGGCAGTCCGCGTTCACCGTGCCCGTGAGGCGGGGCCGCCACCGGTTACGCCTTCCTGTGCCTCCCGCCGGGCAGCCAGACAGCTGTGCGCGGAGCTGCTGCGAGCCCCGGCGGGTGGCTTGTCCAGCTACTCTCCGAGGACCAGCGGCCAGTTCCCGGTCCTCCATTTCGCCTGTCCCTGATCCTCCGCTGCCCTCGCTGAAGATGGCGGCCACCCGCCCCCTGAGCCGTCAGTAAAAATGGCGGCTCCCCTCCCCTGCCAGGCGGAGCCGGGAGCGCTTGAGGCGGAAGCGGAAGTGATGTGCGCCCCCGTCCCGGCGGCGGCGGGGAGCAGTAGGAGGCGGTGGCTGTGGGGAGGGCCCCGCGAGTGGCGCGGCGGTTGCCGAGTAACGGTAGGAGCTAGCTGAAGCTCTGTAAGTGACCCGAGCCGGCCTCTCAGCGGCGGGTGTCACCCCTTGTCGTGGCGGGGGCAAGGTCTGCCTGGGTGGCCGCGGGGCTCCGCGGGCCCGGCCTCCCTGGGCTTACAGGACAGCGCTGACCTCCGAGCGGTGGGGAAAGCGTGAGCCGCGTTTTAGGAGACGAAAACCTCGTATTTCGGGGACAGGCCTCACCAAATCGTTGAGCTTCGTGAGCCGCTGTCGGCGCGTGTAGTGAGAAAGAGAGTTTGTTAGGGTAATAAAACCAACGTGGTCTAAATTTAGTGGGGTTCCTTGTGGTTTAGGGGTCTGGGTTTCTTGTTTCGTGGAATTCTTTCTGTTGTTGATTTGTTTGTTTGCTGGTGGTTTTGTGTTTTGTGTTTTTTTTTGGGCGGGGGGGGCTTTTTTATTTGAATGACTGGGTAAGAAGCTATGACTTCTCACGTAGATGGGTGTACTGAGCATTTTGGTCACTTCCATGTAACTTTCATGTAACTTTCCTTGCAGTTGCACGATGGCAGAAGCTACCGTCTCTCCCCTGAAGCACTTTGTGCTTGCTAAAAAGACTATCACTGCCATTTTCGACCAATTGCTGGACTATGTCACAGAGGGAGCAACTTTTGTGGAAGGTTAGCTTTCATCTTAAACACAAGGGTCTTGTCTGTTGCTTTGAATGTATTTTACGGTAGAACAATGTACATCAGGATATAGGCTGTTTGTGTAAACGTACACCTTCAGAAGCAGTCACGTTTTTCATTTAACATTGCTGATTTTTTTTTTTCCATCTCGGGCCACCAGGAATTCCTAGGGTGGTTATGTATATGAGAAGCTGATTGCATTGCTTGGGCTAGTAGTCAGCCTTCTTTCCATGAGGAAAACTTAACAACTCCAGTCTTTATATTCCTTTTGTGTTTTATCTTTAGTACAAGAAAGGACAAACAGGTTCTCCCATTATTCAGCTAGAAAGTAGATCAACATGATGTAATGCAGAGAACCACTGGTTGATGTTTTACCAACATGTAGGTGTATGTGTCATCACATGGAGCTGGTTCATCACCTCAATGATCTCTGCAGGGAGAAGATAGTCCAGCCTAGCTGCTCTATCCTTGAGAGGTCCTGGCTTTCCTTTCTGAAGGAAGCAGGTGTTGCAGAGAGTGGAGCACATCAGCACAGCAGGCTGTGTTCACAGGGTTATTAAATCCAGCAGTTGGATTGGTGATTAATCTGGAATGATGGCACAAGTGCTTTTGGTGGAGCTATCAGATGACAAAGACTAATATCAGTGTCCATAATGGGGTTTTGTCTTGTTTTCTTACCATTGCATCATTAAAATTTGCACAGATCTTTACTGGCATGTGAAGTAGTGATAATCTATGTCTGTATATGATTACTTTTATGTTATTCTTTTTCTGTGTGTAGCCACATACAAGAACCCAGAGCTTGAGCATGTAGCAACAGAAGACGAACTAGCAAAAATACAGGCATATAAAAACAAGTTAGCAGTCATCGGTGAGGTGCTTTCACGGAGACACATGAAAGTGGCTTTTTTTGGCAGGTAATGAATGGAATTACCAGAACGTAAATTGTTTTTTTTGTTGCTGTTTTTTTCTCTCTTGTAGCGCCTAATGTCTATCTTTATAACTTAAATGCACTGGAGTCAGTGCTTCATTGTTTTCCTCATTATTGTTGCTTGAAATGTAATACATAAAACCAAGTTCACTCTTACCTAATTGATACTGAACATTTTTTTGATGCCATCTTGCCTTGTGACTGTAGATTAATTATTTATCATTACATGCATTTCATTGATAAACTTTGTAAAATAATCATCCTGTATAGATCAGTTGCTTGGCTTGGGAAGATCAGAGTTTGTCACCATCTTCTCCAGAATGGCTTTTTTTTTGCCTTTTTTTTTTTTTTTTTTTTTTTTTAATACAGTGGTTTTGTTTCATATCTTTGGTTTACTGAACTGTTACTGTGATGTACCAACTGTCTTGGTTGTGCTTGATCGCAAGTACTGAAAAACTAAACTTTGGGCTCCTTATGTTTCTGTATATAAGCAGCTGAAGAAAAATGGAGGTGATTGCCTCATTGGTTCTGCTTTCCTGAATCAGTAATTAGGAAAAGTTCTAGTTCGCAGGTGTTGGTGGTATTACCACAAATCAAGTGTCAAACCTTTTGCATATTTAGGTAGCATATTTAGTTATGGGTGATTTAATTTCACTTTTGTTTTAGGTGTGTGTGTATATATATATATATATAAAATACATGTATCTATATAAATTATTTTCAGTATTAGAAAACTTTTCATTTTAGTCAGCTTGGGATCATCTCAGCTTTTTTTTTATATTTTTTTATTTTTTAATTTGCAGCAGGAAGAAAGGGAGTTAAAAAGAAAGGTATTTGTTGCCCTTGAAATGTATTACTACGTAAGAAGCATTCTGAAGAGATGCTGTGATGTCAGGTGTATAAACCCAGAGCACTTAGGTTTTATGTGTCTCTGCTTGTCTGCATTTTGTTTTGCATTTGAGTCTCATTTTAGTGGAAAAGTTGTAAATTTTCAGTAAGAAATTGTGATAGGGCCTTAACATTTCCAATAAATTTCTGCATTCCAAACATTGTGCCATTCTGTTCCTATAGAATTTGGAAGGTGTTGGAAGATGATGGAAGATGATGAAAATCTGCCTTCCCAAATGTAATGTCAGATACAAAATAGAGAAGTCATTGTAAAAGACTAGTGCTTTCAAATGCTTTTATGTGCCTGGTTAGTCTGAGGTCTGTTAGTCCACTTTGCTTCAGGAAGATTGATTTTTCTGTGCTTAAATTTAAGCATGTGTTTACATATTTTTTTTTTTCCAGGAGTGTAAATCTTCAAGTTTTAGTTGTAAAAATTCTCTAAGAGTATTGGAAAAAAATGCATGGGACAGTGGTCTTAGCTTTATTTTGCTAAAAATAGTTCAGCTATTTAAAGAAAACCAATAAAAGGATCTAAGATAAGGAAATTAGTTATATCTTAGCTTTGATATTTCCCAAAGTTAAAAGTAGAATACGTTTGCAGGCTGTGATGTGTGGTAAAAGTTGGTTTTTCCAAGGGCAAAGATTCAGAATGGGAAAAAGCAAATTCCACTCTTCCTCTGACATTTTGAATAAATTTGTAAACTGTTGTACAGTGAGCACTGAACTTTTTTCTAGAAATAGCTCAAAAATAGCTCAGAAAGTCTCTGTAACTTCATACTGTTATGTAATAGTTAAACTTTAGATATTTATGGGTGAGGGTTACTGTTAAGTAGGACATTGCTGAGATTTCCCAAGTTCTTGCAGAATCTTGAGTTGCTGACCAGTTAATTTTAATCAACAGGGTTTTGGTTAACTTAACTATTTCAGCCTTCTAAAAGAAGGGCAAGACTAAGTTCTGTAATTAAACCGCACAAGCATTAAAAGTATTATGCACAAGAAAAAAAACTGAGGATGTTTTGCACATTGTTTCATGTCTTGCCTTAGAAATCTTCATTCAATTCAGATTAACATGCATTAAATTGTTCTGGATTGTCATTGCTGGCTGTGGTGAGAATTTCCACAGCAGTGCTTTGAAGCTTACCTGAAGGCAGTAGTGCGCTGACTCTCCTTTTGTACCTCATCTTATGCCTAGAAGACTCTACCAGAAGTAGCAGCTCCTTTCTGACTGGTAAAGATGAGGCGTTTCTCCAAAGGCACCTTAAGTTGCTGAGGTGGTAATTTCGTGAACATTTTAAGGAGTTGCTGTTGATTGCCACCATAGAGGGTAGTCCTTGGTCATGCGGCGTTCTCATGGCCTCCTCCCTCCAGCGTCCCTGGAATTCCATTAGCCTTGCTGTGAGCAAGAATGTGGAGTTGTCTGGTCAAAACATAATTCTGCCCAGAATGTTACATGTATTTTTGATTGGTCCTTTTCTCAGGAATGCCCAGGCTGGCACAGAGAAGAGGGGGACTGCCCCTTGTGTGATTTAGTAATTGTTTTAAATTGATGTGAGGTATTTTTTTATGCTAGATGCTTTTTCTGGTGTAGCAGATTTGAGCCAGGATCTTTTTCAAATTCCTTACACAGATTGAGGTATACCAGGTAAAGCACGTTTGGCAGTCCAGGTTGGGCTAGTTAAGCTAGTGTGTGTTCATGCAAATGAAAATTGGTTTTCTTGGTTGCATAGGCAATGTTGATAGCAAGGAAGACTTTTTAAATTGCTATCCAGATAAACTTTTCATGCACTCCCTATTTTCTGGCAAGCTGTGCTGTCCTGGCTTGAAGCTTTGTCACCCAAAACAGCTTGCAGTATGTGGGTCTGATGTAATTAATTGGGTGTATTCTGTTCAGGACAAAGGTATGTTTAATGCTACTGTACTGTGCTCAAAGTGCTTTGATTTTTCTGTCCCTCTAGAACGAGCAGTGGGAAAAGTTCAGTTATTAATGCAATGCTGTGGGATAAGGTACTTCCTAGTGGGATTGGCCATACAACTAACTGCTTCCTCAGTGTGGAAGGGACAGATGGAGATAAGGCTTATCTTATGACAGAAGGGTCAGATGAAAAGAAGAGCGTCAAGGTACGTTTTTTGAATGATTAATGCTGATTTTCACAGTAATTTTTTCTCAGTCATTAATAATTTCAAGTCTAACAAACTACAGTGGTTTACTTTGCAATTTATCTTGGATATTTCAGAGAAACAACTAATGCATGTCTTGTAGCACAGCTTATGTTGAGTGATTTATAGATCTGAAAGTAAGTTCTCTTACTTGTTAAGGATTTGGAATGTGCTTCTCATTTGGCCTTATGGTGCTTAACTTATTCAGCTGCTTGCATTGATGTGTTAAACCTCAAAGAGAAATTCACGATGGTGCTCAGTATCACACACTCTAGCCCTGTAGAGAATACCACTCGCTCCAAAGAAACGTCTGAGTTTCAAGGCACAACTTGTTCTTTAGATGCTAGTGAGTCTAAGAGCTTCTAAAAAAGTATCGTCACAAATATTCACCAGAAGGATGTATGAATTCTCTTATTCTGTTCAAGATAGATCCTGACCAGGTTTGCTTGAGAACTAAATTAGACTGATTTACAGAATTGTTCGTGTTCATGTTTGCCTTTTCTTTTTGTTCTTTATAGACAGTCAATCAGCTTGCTCATGCACTTCACATGGATAAAGATTTGAAAGCTGGCTGTCTTGTCCATGTCTTCTGGCCCAAGTCAAAGTGTGCTCTGCTGAGAGATGATTTGGTTTTAGTGGACAGGTATTTTTCTGTTTTAGTAAATGTTTTCTTAAATTAGTTATTATATTATTTAGAAGAGAGATTGATTTACTAATAGTTTGTGCTTTGGTTGTTAGGTTGCAAAGTTATCGAAAAGCAGACTTTATTAGAGAGGGAGAGATTACAGAGTTTGTTCTTTTGTTTACACTGCTGCCTGTGATCACCCTGCTGATTTTGGCCTTGTAACAGTTGGAGCAGGCAGGTGTCTTATGATTTAGTTTAACAAGGGACTACCTTTTGTCTAAGGATACTTCTACCTTTAAAACAGTATGGGAGCGTGAGTAGGGTTGATGCAACAGCAACCTCTTGTCTGTCTGCTGTCTTTGAACACTTCACACTGATCATGTGAAGCATAGGCAATCTGGACTTAATTTTTAAGAGCTTCTGATAAGACTTGCATTACCTACATACCAAAGTAATGGGTGACCTCAAAATGCAATTGTGACTACATGGGCTGTGTGCGCCTGTGTGTTGGGCTACCATTTCTCAGAGTTTGTGTATTTGTAGAATTCTGAAAGCTGTTGCTTTGTCTGTGTCAAATGCCGATATTCCTGGCCACTGAGGTATGACCTGATTTGTGAATCAATATAGATTGAATTTGAGAGTAATTCACTTGAGTATGAGTGAATTTATAACTATGATTATTTTCATATCCAGCATAACAATACCCAGCTTGTATTCTGATAAATTGTAGTGAGTTTTTTGTTGCATCTCTGGTCTTACACCTTTGAAATCACTAGGCGTTTGTTGTTTTCTTGGGTGCAAACTCAGGTCCTGTGTTAGTCATGGAGAAAGCCAGCCCGACTGGCACAGGGAGCTGGTGGTTTTGAGGCACTGCTGGGCTTCTAAGCTTATGCACATATGCTGTCTGCTTGGGGACATGTGCATAGCACAGGTATGCTGGAAACCCAGAAGGGATCCTTGCATAGATACGATACAAGGCATGATTTGGTCTGCAAAGTCTCGGATGCTAACGGTGAAATGTGAAAGGAAAACAGTCTGGATTCTGAGAACAGGTTCTTGGAAGGAGAGCATCATATTTTTACTGTTAAATAGAGAAAATTTAAACCAGCAGTAGTTGAGGAGTTGCAAACATGACTTAATCTCATATTCCACTTAAATTTTAAAAAAACTGACAGCACTATGGTTTTAACTTCATTTTAGTTTCTTGTTAAATCTGTACACAGCTTTGTAGCATTTCACTTTAAAGTAAGCCTTTATTAATGGAGAAAACATCATATGAATAGCTGTCCTTTTTGATGGAAATCTAAAACTTGGGATATGGGGGACTGTTCTATGAGACTGCCTGGATTTCTGATGGACTGCCTGTCACTTTTCTTGGCAGTTGTGGTCTGCCTACTTATTCAATCGAAACTGCATTTTCGAATAAGTAGATGGTCCAATGAGCAAGTGACTGATAACTCTTAAAAATGATAATTGGCTTTTGCTGTGTTTGCCTTAAGCTTGAGGTAGGCATCACCCTAAAGCTTTGTATGTTCTTACAAGGCCATGAGGCAATCCCACTCTATTTTTTTCAGTTGATAAAAATCAAATGCTCCTTTTCTGGGTAAATATGAGTTTGTGGCTTTTTATTCTCAACAGCCCTGGCACAGATGTCACTACTGAACTGGACAGCTGGATTGATAAATTCTGCTTAGATGCTGATGTGTTTGTCTTGGTTGCCAATTCTGAATCAACTCTCATGAACACGGTATGTTACGCAATGATTTTACGTTAGTTCTTCATTTAAGTATTCAGCAGTTTCACAGCTGAAATGATTTCTCTTAGGCCTTTACTGAAGCTCCTGTGAATTATTGCACTGAGATGTTGAGAATAGCTCTTGAGGGTGGGAAGCAAGAAACGATGTATATCTCTTGCAGGGGAAAGGAGAACCAAGCCTCTTACGAGTTTTGCTTACTCTGACTTAAGCATCATATTTGTCCTTCCTATCTCAGTTTCTTTTGTGATAAATGGGTGATGCAGTGCTTGTCTTGCCTTACAGTTTGTTGATTCTTGTCAGCTCAAGGCACTTGTATTATCAAAGAAATAAATTCCAGAGTATTTCATGTCCAGAAGTTCAGGAAAATACACAAAGTAGGTGAAGGAAGTTAGAATTGTTCCTCATGTGTTCTTGTCTCAGAAGAGGGTGAATTCCCTTGATGCACCTTCTGCTGAGGACAAGTGTTACCCGTTCCCCTCACTGGATGGTACTTCTGAAGAAAATGCTAGCAATAAGCATTCATGTTGCATGGTTCTGTGCAACTTGGAGAGCTGAAGACATGTTAACACCTTTATTCTATAAAGAGCCTTGTTTCAAGAGAGAAGACTCCTGTATACCTTGTAGCCTATATATTGTATGACTTGTAGAAGGAGAGAGTGCAAGGTGACCAAAGGAGCTGTTATGATACTCAAAATATGAAACCAGAGATTTGGTTTAATTTTGTAGTGATCTTCAGTTTTCGTTAAACTAAGTATTGTGAATGCAGACAATGTCAATATCAGGTTTCCAAATTATTGGAACTGTGACTGCCAAAATGTAGTAGAATGCTGCTGAGAAGTCTCTTGAAGACTTTTATTGAGCCTACTGTAGACAAATCTCTGATTGTTCTGAGCATAGCTCTGACATGCAGTGTCTGAACTTTCTAATTATTGAGGTATTTTTTTAATCCAAAAGAAAACTGACTGTACAAAGACAGTATATCCTTGCATTCTAGCAAATGAGAATAGTTTGGTAGATACAAGAAGAACGAGTTTAAAAACATTACAGTCCATCTTCTGAGCCTGATCGTCAAAGATTCTGATACCAAAAAGATGTGATTTAGAAGGGGGGTGGGGGAGAAAATTCTGACAACATCCACGGTAAAGAGAGAGGATTTGACACAGCTCTTCCTTTGTCTTCTCCATTATCTCACATGAGGCACACTTTGAAGTTTAGTATGAACAGAGTCTAGAGGTTGCTTGTACTGTGTGCATACCATAGTTGGCTTGGGTTTTTTTAATTAAAAAAGGGAAGAAGAAAAAAAGATTGGGTTTCAGTGAACATCTCATTACTATATAAACACAGAAACAGTAGGGACCTGTGTGCCAGATTTCAGTTTGGTGTAATGAAGTAGCAGAGAAAAGGCAGATTTAATAGGGCTTCTCATTTACTCAGGAAAAATAACCATTAAAACCCATCTGACCAATATAATAAATGTATGGCCTATTTGTCTTTCCAACATATCTGCTGGAAGATTCTGTTGGTTTTGTATTTGTCTCATCTAAAATGCTCAGTGACAGAAGTGCTCCTCTGCTTTTTAATGAGATTTTTGGCCAGCCTTTATTCCTTGTCAGGTATGGCTGGAAGCTGCTAAATAGAAAAAGGTTAGTCTTGCAATTTGTTTCAAGCATTAAAGTCTTGCTAAGAGTTTTTGGTTGCTGTGCTTATAAATCCTCACTTAATACTGAGCACCTTGTAATTACTGGAATCTGGAAACACCAGTGTCCAGGGTGCATATTAGAGGGAAAGGAGGTGCATCTTAGTTGTGATTGAGGCTTTGGCTCAGTAAACAGTTCTCTTACTCTTCCTTTTAAATTTTTCAGTCTGGTAGATACAAATGAAGTTGCCTTTAACAATTATGTAACTGCTTTAAAGCATTTCTGTTTTGCTTTGCATTGTGGCAAATAGTAATTTCTTCATCTACACAAGCTTGTCTTTCAGGTAAAGCACATGATAACTATGTTCTCATCCTCCTTAGGCATTATTTTTACCTCTTACTATAACAGGTCTGAGAATACTTGGCAACTTCTTCACGGCAGCTGCTACAAAAGCACAGCTTTTTTGCAGAAACACGTTTTTTTCTAATATTGCCTCATAAATTCTCTTCAGACAAAGTTCTTATTTCTGCAGCAGTCACCTTGTTTTCATATGCTTACTCCCTGGATGACAGAAGCTAATGTATCTCCAGCGTTGTGTCCAGAATGTGCGGTGATGTCCTGCTGCAGATTCAAAAAGCTTACGGCAGCCCAGGGATCTCTTCTGTTTCAGTTGTGCTGCGCAGAGATTCATTCCATCATGACTTACCCATTATGACTATGAAAACAGCAATGATGGGTGTTAGGTACGGGCAAAGGACCTAAATACGTTTTTCAGGCACATGCCTTCTTATTTTTAAAATGAAAACATTCGGCAGTGACTTTTCTTCCTGTGGCTTAAGCCATACATTTACATATAGGCAATGTAACTTGTCTGTAGTTGAAGCTGACATCACCTAGTTGAAGGATACAATTAGAGGGTGTTTTTCAGGATATAGAATCCAGGTCTGACAGAGTGAACAGAAGTACTTTTGTACTTTTCAGATAAGGAAGACTTCACAGTTTTAGCCAGGCATCTTATTTTAAAAAGGAAATGAGCTGCATCTTGTGTGTTCCTTTTCCTTTTCTCTCTTCCCCAGCAATATTTTGAGTGTCACAAGTTTCCTACAGGACTAGAAGTGTCAAAGGAGATGAAGTTCTGTGAGGGGAAAAAAAAAAGCAAACCAGTGAATAGCATGATAGATTTATAGCAAAATAGACTTTATTTCCAGTGTTTTCTAAACTGTCTGTTTTCTTAATTTGTATTTGTACCTATTTTTAGAGAAGCTTCTTTGACTTTTAGTGCTGGTGTTGGTCTTAGGACATATAATGATTATCATGAGCCCTTTTTTTTGTGTTAGATGTATGTGGGGCTTAATACTAATTAATTATTTTTAATAACCTTTTAAAAAACTGCAATAACTTCAGAATCTCTTACAGAAGATTACATGACTCTTATTTGGATGTCTGGGGAGTTTTCTGTTTGTGCTTTAATTCTTAGGAAAAGCATTTTTTCCATAAAGTGAATGAACGACTTTCCAAGCCAAACATCTTCATCTTGAATAACAGATGGGATGCCTCTGCATCAGAACCGGAATACATGGAAGATGTGAGTGACTTGATGGCTCTTATTTGGGTTGATTTAAAAAAACCCAACATATATATATAAAGAAAAGGCCCCCACATGCATAAAGACATGCTAAATTGCCTACATAATACAGTTGTTAATATGAAAATGCCAGCTTTGTTTTATTAATAAAAGGATAAGTTATTTGGTCAGAAAATGGAAATAATTTATTCCTTGTTCAGAGCAAAATGCAACCTGCAATTCAAACATTCAAACTCCAATATATGCAGGCAGGTAATACAGTGGGAAGCTTGTTTAGAACCTTTTCCTCCACAGTTAAGCTTGTTTTAAGTTTTCTTTGTATTATTAATTTCTGTAATGGTAATGCAGGCTGAGGGTTCAGATTATACATGTATACATGCAGAGATTAGCTGGCAAAGTACAGTGTTAGATGGTAACAGTTTGGTGTGCTCTTCAGATCTTTCCAGCAGCAGCTAGCTTGCAGAGGTGGTTATTTCTCTGTATATGGGGAATGAAGTGGTTAAGCCAGTAACTGACTGATATTTCTGACTTACTTTCTTATACCACTGTCAGAAACATATTGTTGCTTCCGGGTCTATTTAAATGGTTAAAAGCTGCGTCAGTAGGATTAGAAGGCATCTGCTATCTAAGGGGTTGTTCAGTATCTGTTTCTGACTCTGATGTTCTAATTTGATGATGACTCAGTTTTTGCCTTGTTCTCACGAGCTTTTTACCTTTCCCATAGGTGCGCAGGCAGCACATGGAGCGCTGTCTGACTTTCCTAGTTGATGAGCTCAAAGTTATTGATCCTGTAGAAGCGAGGAATCGCATCTTTTTTGTTTCTGCAAAAGAAGTTCTGAGTGCCAGGAGACAGAAGGCCCAAGGAATGCCAGAGGGTGGTGTGTGGGAACTCTTGCTTTCCTCAAATACAGGAAAATATCATAAAACCTGATAAATAAAAATATTTGGGGTACAGTCACTGCTGTGAGGTATTGCTCTTTCCCTTATGGTCTGTTATATTTTACAGGTGCAGCACTTGCCGAAGGGTTTCAGACAAGATTCCAGGAGTTTCAACATTTTGAGCAGATATTTGAGGTATTTATGATGGGCTTTTCAGACTGCCTGTTTTTTAATGCAAAGGTAACTTCTGCTTCGCTTCATTTTACTGAACATTACCCATGTTAGCAAGTGGAGGAGCATAAGGTATTCAAACCATCTGACGGCTTTGGCTTATCTGTGGGTTCTGTACGCCTCCTCACCTTGAGTAGCAGGTAACTGTTGGAAAGAAGTATTGTTCTGTGAGGAAAGGGACCAAAACTCTTAGCTCATGTTTTGAGATCTCTGTAGTAGTATAGTCTATATAAAAAGAGCTGATGCTCTTAGAAAGGTGTGTATCAGTTATAACCATGAGCTGGTGAGATGTTTTCTCTACAATAAGCCTTGTTTTGTTCTGAAGTTGTAGCCTTGCAATCAATCACTGTAATTCAGGATACCACTAGTAAGAAATTCTCTTTCACCAATGTAAATCTAAATATTTACTTGCATTTTTAAAGCCAGAGTTCTGAAGTGATCACCATTATCTACTGCTTAGCTCTGATGCTCTGAACATTAATAGTGGTTTTGCATCCTTCTTGTTGTAAGTATTCCATCCTTCAACATCAGTTTAGCTGTATCCATAGATGGAGTTTACAGTTCCTTCAGAAGTAGGACTGGCTAGACAGTGAGTGATTTCTTTCTGATAGAATCCATTTGCCTTGCTGAATTCATAACTCTAAAGCCATTCTTGCATATCTTAAGGAGGTATCTTGGGTATGCCTTCATGGTTTTGTGTGGTGTGGATCAGCATATCTCATGCACCATGAGCCTGAACTCAGTGACTGTAGTTTGCATACACTACATGCTCAGGATGGCTCTTGTGTGCCAGAACTGGTAACTCCTTCTTTGGTTTATTTTGAAAAATTAAACTGCCTTTGAAAAATATTTCTTCTCACATCACAACAAACCCATTTGACTTTAGCAAAACCAAGTTATCTACAATGTGTGTAGATCAAAAAGGTGTTAAAATAATAGCTTTATTTAGTCCTGCATAAGCAAGAAAATGTCAGACTGAAGTTTTAATTTATTTCTTATCCACACTCTACTATAGGTGACTGAATTGTTGAAATGATTGAGTCATAATACTGACAGGACCTGAGCCCATGAGGCATGAAATCTGTTGCTTGTGCCGCAAGTTGTAGCCAAACATGCATTTTTTGCTTGTAACTTTTGTCCTTGAATTACAGTAAGAAATTTTCAACCAGTAGGAAGGAAGTGGAAATTCAGCTACCAAGTCAGTTACTGTTCTTTAGCATATTTTGCCAGGTGCTGTACCCAAAGCTTTTTTGACAAAATCTCTTATAATTACAGTTGAGCACTCAACAGTTAGGGTATTTTAAGATTAAGATGGATGGCTGACTTAATAAATGATGTGATGCTGTGAGTGCTCAGCACATGTGTAAATCAGATGTCACAGTCTCAAGTTGGCCACCAAAATGAGAAGCATCCTCCGTGAGATCACAACCTCATGACAAGTTTATTTGGCAGAGTTTGGGACAAAAAACCATTCTGTGATAGCATGGTAAGGCCTTAACTTTTTTCTTCTTTCACATTACATGTTTCATTTGCTGCACACCTTCCAACTCCAGCAGTGAGAGTTGGTTCTGTAATGCTTTTCCCTGCTCAGCCATGTTTCATCGTGAAATCATGATGAAGGGTTTTGAATACAAGTGTGATCACATCACTTAAAGAGAATGACAATGTGCTAAATTAAGATTGCCAAATCAACTTAAACATTGAGTGTCTGGTGTCACAGCTTCTTTCAGGTTCATGTTTTGTGGGCAATTTCCAAAGTTATAATGACATTTTATTTGCTTTTAAAGTGAGGCTGATACTTAAATGGTTCACCAGGTCTGAAATCTTCAGATCTAGTACTCAGAGTACTGTCATTTGAGCTGATAAAGCAGCTATCATCAGCATACTATTGTCATTAGTTGTGTTTAGCAGCATGAGGCTATACAATCTCATTTACTAATGAATATCGTATATCAGGTAGAATTTTTTGTGTTCAGTCTGGAAACATCCTGCTTGATACTGTGCTTTAAATGCACTGCTGCCTTAATTCAGATGCTGTATAGCCGTGAGTACAGCCTAAGCACTTCTGGCTCAAGGACTTTGCATTTGCTCTGCTTCCTGACAGAGGAGCTGCAGGTCCCACAACCCTTGGATTACACTCCAGTCTGTGAAAAAGAAGGGAAGAGAGCACAGATGTTTTTATCTGTCTTCAAAAAACACTTCCCAGCCACAGTCTGTGTGTCTTGCCTTTAGCTCCTAGTCTCTGTTCAGGTTCTGACTTTTCAAACATTGCTTGCGCTCTTTTTGCATCCACATGTTCCATGTTCTCGCTAGCTATATCTGATGGTTTTGCTCCTCCTAGATTCTTACCCTGCTTGTATCTTCATTAAAATTGGATGGCTTCTTCCTCTTTTCCACGTGGGCTGAGAAGAGGAACTGTTATGTCTCCAGTACTTCCACGTTACTGATTTTAGTGTCAGTTCCCTGATGGGAAAGCTCGTTCATTCAGGATTGATAGGAGCTCATGTAGCTAGAAACAACGCATCAGTGTTAGTTCTGAAAAATTTGGACCATTCTGAAAGGTTTGTAAGTACAGTTACGTAGACTTCTCTGTGAGAAAGAGATATAAGCATGTTTTTTTGCAAAGCACAGGGTGGTTAAAGTTATGAAAAGAAAAACTGGTCCAGGCATTACTAGAAACGCAAGCCGTGGTGAAATTATGATTTTGCAAATAAATGTAGTAGCTTTAAAAAGCAATGTTACTGTGTCTGTCAGCTGTGTTACAACAAAGGAAGAAAGTCTTAAAGGGTTGAATTCAGTTCTGAATTTTTATATTGTGAAATAACAGTAGTCAGTGTATCTTTCTTCTGAAATTTTACAGTGAGGTACAAAGAAATGTCTTACCAAAACAGCAAAGAAGTGCCTGCGTAGTGTACTGTGTGCAGTAATCCTTAGTGGATATTCTATGTAAAACCAAACCTCACTATGCCTCAGGTTGTGTTTCCCAAGTTTGTTCAAAAAGCTAGTAACAGAAATGGTGTGGGGAGGAATGGAGGAGGGAGGCAGGGTAGAATAATAATTCTGGCTGTAAATTGGAGTAAATTAGTACACTACTGCAGAGTCCTTCTCTAACACTGCACAGGAGTGTAAATAAGCAGTGTGTTTAAAGACTGTCTTGATACACTGCAAGTGGGCTGGAAGGCAGCTGGTTTTGGTTATGCTGTTAAAACATACCTTTTCTCTTTGTTTTGGTAAATAGTTACTTGACACCAAAATTGCTGCTGTCCCATTCTTATCTTTCCCAGTCATTTAACTAACCTTTGTGTTTTTCCTAGTGCTCTAACTTGGATTTTCTCATTGTGTTGCGAGTGACTGTCAACCTTTTATCTACTGCATAGTAATGTTGGGAAGATTCTTTCCTCCATGACACATAGTCTAGCTCTTACAATGTGCTGATATTTATGAAACTCTGGCCTTTCATTGCTGATTTCTAGATCTGCTTCATCGAGGAACAGAGATTATAATTTATACTTTTTTATTATTATTTTGTTTTGATCTATTATTTTTAGATAGCTGAAATTTGTTATTACAAACTATACTAAGGTCATAGGCAAGTCTTCTAAAAGCAACCTAAACGTATTTGGGCTAGGAAAAGTGCATACATAGACTGAGAACAATTTAAAAACCCCAAAAGATCTGGTATAAGAAAACTGCTTGCTTTCTTCTCCTCAATCACAGAAGGCGAGGCTACCTTTTGGTGACATAGTGCAGGTCTTAATTTATGGCTTACTACAACTGATTTGCTTTTGCCCAAATTGATCAGTTTTATGTCTTTTCAATTAGTGTCCTATAGGTAAATTAGTGAATAATATTCAAGATGGAAAATTGATTACAAATTGTATCTTTAGAGCAATGTCTACTAATTTTAATCCTTCTTATTGCTAATTGTATGTTCCTGGATGGTCAGTGTTGACATGAGCATGTAAAGTTTTGTCAACAGAACTGCTTCTTGAAACTAAGAGCATGTATTGCAACGAAGACAACTCAAGGGAGGCAGTTTTACCCGCATTCATATTAGATGTTTATAATTCCCAAGAGCTAGTTTGGAAAATTCTCCGAAGAGCTAGATTTATCTTACTTGTTCATCCGAGTTTTCTTTTTTCTTTACGTTATTAATTTATTTTGAAAGACTAAAAACCTATGCACATTACTGTGAGTGAACACAAAGGTACAGATTTGCTGCTATAGACGCATTTGAGATTTCAGTTCTGTTGTCTTTTAATTTCTGTATACTTTTTCCCTTTTATTTCCCATTGATTTAAGTTCATAGTAAAATTAGCAGCGTGTGCTTTCTGACAGTGAAATTCCTGAATGTCTTGGCATGGAATTGCAGTAATGTGTTGTGGCTTGGGCCCCTCGCAGGAGTGTATCTCGCAGTCAGCCGTGAAAACCAAGTTTGAACAGCACACTATCAGAGCTAAACAGATAATAGATACTGTGAAAAACATTATGGACGCCATAAACGTAGCAGCAGCAGAGAAAAGGTAGGTTGAATGGAGCGCTGGTTGGCTTTGGTTTATCCAGATCCTCTGAGGAACCTTTTCTATGCTGGTGATTTTCTTGGGCGATTATGGACTTTAAAACTCACTTTTCTCACTTGGTAAGAAACAGAGAATTTCTCTGGTGTGTCAGTCTTACTGCTGTTCACTTGCACCACACAGTCTTGTGCTTGGTCTGTGACGCTTGTATAGGGATTTTGGTATACTTTGTTATTCTTCATTACTGACTTACAGTTACAGAGGCAGTCTGTAGGTTTTCAGATACTTTTTAAAAATATTTGAAATATTAAGGCTTTTTTAGCTGTGTCTAGCATTTCCAAAGTGATGCTTTTGCCTGCTTTAATGAAGTTTTTTGTTAACAGTAACACTGAGAAAATAAATGGGAGGATGTAGACACTTAATTTGCAAGTGGTTAGAATACTGCTAACTGCTGAGAAGGGCCCAGGCTAACACAGGCTTGGCCTCTGGCCCTTTCCAGATTGTATCGTTAACTATATTTATTCTCTCTTTGCTCATGTAATCCTTTTAGTGCTAATGATAGCAGCTCATCTATTCTGTTCTTTGAGGTTTGCATATGTATGGATTTTTTCCTTACTTTTGTGGCTGCCTCTTGTCTCTGTTGTACACAGTGAACTTGCTGTCATGTTTAATCCTCTCCATCTCCTTTCTGTGTCTGTTAATAGTGTGTCTTTATGTTTCAGCAGATTCCACTGTGCCTGTCAAACACACTCATCTTCCTGAATATGTCAGCTTTTGCAAACCGTGTTTATGTATTGACTTGTCTCACATTGTCAGATCCTATGAAAACATACTGTGCAATGATTGAAAATATTACTCCGCTTCTTTCTGTCAACTGACCGGCTAAAACCTGTGTAGCGACCCTTCTTAATCTGAGTCATTGTTTGATGTTTCTGCTGGCCCTTCAGGACATAACTGTTTTAGATTGTAAGCAATTTTTACATAAATGGTAGGTCAAGGACTTCTGAAGAGAGCTGTTTGTGACAAGGTTGGTTTCTGCCACCTCCCCTTTGCTTGGCAGGGTCATCAGACCCATGTCACCATTAGGGAATAGCTGAGTGGTACTGGTGAGCAGCAGTAGGACAGTTTGATTAGATTTATCCTTTTATTTTTAAATCAGGATAGGTGACGTATTAAAGACTTCTAATCCCCCACAGCTGTTTGAGTTGTAACTATGTACAGTGGTAACAATACCAAATGCAAATGCTGGTTTTGTAAATACAACAAAACCCAGTAATTTGGCTTATGTACAGTCAGTGCAGCCTTTAACTGCACCTGTAAATTTAATACCTGTATTGCAGTCATTCTGAAGTAGTGCCTCTGCTTTGTTCAGCCTGTGTCACTTTGAATTCTTTTTGGCTGCTCAGTAAACTCAGTAAAACCATCGGCTAGGTGGTCCGTGCCTGATGATGGGGCTTGTTTCATTGCTGGGAGAGTATCTGCTGGTGATGGTGATTTCCTTCTTGCTATGTTAAGAGTCCAGTCAATGGAAGAGCGAGAAGATCAGAAGGATAGACTGGACTTTGTTCGAAACCAGCTGAACATTTTGACAGAAGATACTAAGGAAAAAATCAAACGCGTTACTGAGGAAGTAGAAAATAAAGTAAGTAACAACAGTGTGAGCAATCTCTCAAGATTCAAGTGTTGCCCCTTCTGGAAGGCAGCTTCTTTAGGTGCCCACCCATCTCATGAAGTACATTTGAAATGTCTGGTATGTTCCTTTGCCAATACTAAGAAAAAAAGAATAAAACTCCCTTAAAATGGCAATCCTTCTTGACTGTCAGGTAATGACATCATTCCTTGTAACAGTTAATGCAGTTGTTTGGTTTCACTCTGGCTGGAAAAGGTAGGAGAAATATTTCATGTATTTACTGCATTTTTCCAGGTCTCTTCTGCCATGACTGATGAGATTTGCAGACTTTCGGTTTTAGTTGATGAATTTTATTCAGATTTTCACCCTTCTCCTCAAGTACTGAAGCTGTATAAGACAGTAAGTTTTTTCCATGTTTGAAGCCAGGCTCCTTGTCTTGCCTTGAATTTCTACTGCTGTTTTTATAATTTGTGTAGCATTTTATGTGACACTTTAAGCACGGCAGGTTTTTTACTTTCTGCCGTATGCATATCTCTACCTAAAACTAGAAAAGGTTGGAAATATTTTCTGCTTTGTTTTATGACAGAAGTTAGGTTTTTTTTCAACTGCCATTTTTACCAGAGTGGTTACTGAAACTGACACCCTGATCCGTAGTCTTCACTTCTAGTAAATAAAGACCTTACATAAACAATTTTCACTGCACCTAAAAGGAAACTGATGTAAAAATGAAATGAGCTTGCAAATACCCAACAATTTGGGGGGGGGGGGGGGGGTTAAATTTTTAAGAAAAAAAAAATAAAAATTAAACCTTTGTAGATTCCTCAGCCTCAGTGTTTTAAAGGAGCAGACATACACCTCTGCTGCTAATGAATGACTGCTATAACTCGCACCTGCTTCAGCCTTGTTGATCGGCTCTGTGCTGTGTTTTGAGGCCAGTCTCTTCTGTCCTCTGTGGTGTGCTCTCTGCAAAATGCCCAGAGCAGACCCCCATGGGAGTCGAAGGGATCAGTTTGTGCAGAGCAATGAAATTGGCTCTCATCAAACAGTGACAGTAGAGGCTTTGCAGGGCAGTATAGCAATGGTATGCTTTTTAGTGTCATGGTTTATTCAAAATACAGCCTTTTCCACATGCCTTTAATGATTACAGCCCTAGAGAAATCTTTCCTGTGTCACTTCAGTTAAGTTTTCATTCACAGTGGGTGGTTTAAGAGCATGGTATTTCCATGGTAACATGCTGTTCTTCCCACTGTAAATAACAACAGTGTTTAACATATCTCTGCTCTGTATAATATAATTGATGAGTTAAATATAAATTGATGAGCATATATTCTTTATAAAACTTCAGGAACTGAACAAACATATAGAAGATGGTTTGGGAAGGAACCTGGCTGATCGTTGTTCCAATGAAGTCAATGAGTCAATGCATCAGTCGCAGCAGGAGATGATTGGTAAGATGAGGGAGGAGGAATGTTAAGACTTTTTGTTTATAGAATCATAGAATAGTTTGGACTGGAAGGGACCTTCAAAGGTCATCTAGTCCATGCTGCCCTGCACTGAGCAGGGACATCTTCAGCTAGATCAGGTTGCCCATAACCCCATCCAGCCTGGCCTTCATTGTCTCCAGGCATCCACCACCTCTGTGGGCAACCTGTGCCAGTATTTTACCACCCTCGCTGTAAAAAATTTCTTACTTGCATCCAGCCTGAATCTACCCTCTTTTAGTTTAAAACCATCACCCCTCGTCCTATCGCAATAGGCCCTGATAAAAAGTCTCCATCTTTTGCCCTTTTAAGAACTGAAAGGCCACAATAAGGTCTCTCTAGAGTCTTGTCTTCTCTGGGCTGAGGAGAGGAAAAAAATTGTCCTCATTGTTTAGAGGAAGACAATTTAAGTAAACTTGCTTTTAAAATAATTTTCTTTCTGATAATGGTTTACCATTATAAAATGATAAAGGAAAAGCCATCCTAGACTAAGACTAGTGTCTGTCCAGCTTAGTATCCTGTTTCTGCAATGAACCAGTAGCAGATGCTTGGGGAGATGAACCAGGGTAAATACAGCAATCCATCCTCAGTTCAGGGACATCTGAGCCAAGATACTGCATCTGGATTAATGGCTTAAGGGAGTAGTAATGGACCTTTCCTCTTGGAAGTTGTCTAATCCTTTTATAAACGCGTTTAAGCTTTGGCTTCCGCAACAGATATATAAAATATACTAGTTAGATAATGTTTCTGCAGTATAATCCTCTCCCTGGGTCTCTCCAGATTCTGAGTGCAAAACAGGATAGTTTCATAAAGTATTTGTACACTCCCTTTTATTATTATTATTATTATTTTTTAAATAAGTAGTAACTTTATTACATATCCGTCTGTTGTGATCTGTTTCTGGTAATAAAAGCTTGAGCAAGATTCTTACACAATAATGTAGCCTTTTCTGTATGGCACTGCTGGATAAGCCAACTTTTTCTTAGTCTGTCCTTATCTTTTGGCTATTGCTGGAGGTCTTTCAGTTACTTTGACCAATTTTTCCAGAAGTGCTTCCTCTCAGTTGATTTTGTGTGGCTGTTTTATTTTATCAGAGTAATAAATTGCCTATTCTGTAGGATCAGTACTGCTAAAATGCCCAGTTTACGTTCTGGTAGTTGACAAAGCCGGTCAGCAGTGCAAGGATGTTACTTGTGAATATGCTATGAAGCTTTCCATACTAACTCACCTTTACTGTTTGGTTTTATTTCTAGAAAATCTGAAACCGTTGTTGCCTTCTGGTGCTCAGAGCCAGCTCCACTTGCTAGTTCCTTGCAGGAGGTTTGACCTTAGCTATGATCTAAACTGTCATAGTCTGTGTGCAGATTTTCAAGAGGATATCATGTTCCACTTTTCCTTGGGATGGACTTCACTTGTAAACCGTTTCGTGGGTGCTAAACAGGCTCAGAAAGTACTGCTGGGACTAGCAGATCCAAACTTAAAAGTGAGTGCTTCAGAGGTTAGGCTGACATTAAGCGCTTTGTTTTACCTTGATGAGAATATATTGGGTTTTGCTCTATTTGCCTGTATTATTTACATGCTCTCTGCTACTTTCCCCTAGTCCCTTTGTGTGAAACATTTTTGTTGAGGATTATTTTTATTGGATTATATTCAGGGTTAGAATGGAACAAAAAAACCTTTCCTAAACTTTCTGCAGCCATTACCTGAGTTTTGTTTTAGTTTGAATTAAACCCTTTTGGGTAACCTTTTTATTTGTAATTTCTGGATCCTTATGGCAGGGACAGTCCTATGCAGAACCCTTATTCTGTCCCAGTCCCCACTGGGCAAGGAACTGTCAAAACATCCACTGCTTATCAGGAGTGTTGTTCACGTGTCTGTGCTGAAGAGTTTCCTTTCAGTAAATCAATCCCTGAATATATGAAAATAAAACCAATCTGCTGTGTAGTTCCTTAATGCTTTTTACTCAGGCTGCCATATTCCACTCTTCTAGATCCCTCGTCCTTTAGCTACCACCCCGTCTACTGCCAGCCTTCCTGCCATGACTCCAGAGAATGTATCGCAGGATGATTTTATGGTTCCTTTGGTAATGAGTTTAGCTTCACTGACATCACGGACCTCTATGAGCATCATCGTTGTTGGCGGAGTGGCAAGTAGTATTAGCAACATTCACTGTACTAGAAGTGATGGCAATCATTAAGCTGATCTTTCCTTTTATGGGTGCAACATGAAACATGTAATGGACTTAACAATGGGCTGGATGAGTGCGTGTAGTGTGCTGATACCTGCAATGAGGTTGTAGTGAGAAAATTGGTCTAATTATTCTGAAGATAGTTGGACATATTCTCTATGTCATATGTTTGGGCTCAGCTTCTGAATTGAAGGATGATTTGATGGTACCTCATTCAGTTTGGATTTAGGGGAAGCTTTGCTTTCTCCTTCATGGAAAAGCAGCAAAGCTTCTGTAACCTGCATGTTCTCCATGCCACTGGGGTACCAGCTGTTCTGAATACAGCTGCAATAATAATAAGGAAATAATTCTTTTTAACTAATGTGGTGAAAGGGCTATGAAGAGGATTTAAAAAATGGTGGGAATTAGATTTTATTCTGCATGGCAATTTACTTAAGCTAATGAAGATTCCTCTTTTTCAGATTTGGAGAACAGTAGGCTGGAAACTCATCTCTCTTTCCTTAAGTATGTATGGGTTGTTATATCTTTATGAGAGACTCACTTGGACCACTAAAGCAAAAGAGAGAGCCTTTAAACAGCAGTTTGTAAACTATGCTACTGAAAAGCTGCAGATGATCGTCAGTCTCACAAGTGCGAACTGCAGCCATCAGGTGCAACAGTAAGTACCATGCTGGTGTTTAATCCCTGTCAGTGCTGTACTGTCCTGGAGCAGAGACTGGCTGTATGTGATGTGGGAAGGCAGCTTTAGTGTCCCTTGGCATTTATCATAAGGGATTTTTAAGAGTTTGAAATTACCAGCTGGAAAGGTCAGTAGTCTTTGTGTATGTACATGCAGCGCAAAAGTTAGTCTTACGTTGCAGACTCTCTCTGCAGTACCTTATTGTGAACATCTGAGTTGGCTCAGATCTAGCAGGGAGGCTGAACTGGTCTGCTTATGGATGAGCATTGAGTCACTTCAGTGGTGAGCATTTGTTCTGCTTCAGGGGTTGATACGGGTGAGATCTACACAGCCAGTTGTGGCCATTCAGCACTGTGCAAGAAGAACTCAGCAGCCTTTCTGAACAGTTCCATTGGTTTTGTGTGTGTCGTTCCCAAATAGTTTTTCACCTTTCTCTGCAAAGTAACATCTGAATGACTGTGTCCTCAGCCTCTCCTGCTGAAACTGCTTGTTTTGATTAAATTATTATTTCAGAAAATTAGGCCTGCTAAATGAGACCTCTAACCCCCAGGGTGCAGAACACCTCTCCTGTGTAGCCCAGGCAATACTTTACTAATACAGAGCTCAGCTTCTGCAGAGGAAGGAGAATCATCCCCATGTCCAGCAGCCGTGTGTCTCTGTGAGTCCATGGAAGAGCTGGACTCAAACCAGTGCTCCAGTGAGGTGAAGTAGAGAGGACATGCCTCCTCTCCTATGGAAGGGCCTGCTTGCTGGCTCAGCAGGGTAACTGGTTTTCCCTTTGTGTAAGGAGGAGTCTTGGAACTCAGGTTGGGAGCACATGGCTGAGGAGGCAGCTAGGACCTTACCCTGCAAAGTGCGCATATTCCCTGTGTTCAGGGCACTTGCTGTGGCACAGGGCACTTCAGAAGGGGCACTCAGCTGCTCCAGCATGTGCCGCTGCCAGAGTCCCCATCTCAGGCTTGTACCTGTTAATGCTCACTGGAAAGTGGCCAGACATGATGTGAGCGTAGGCATTTTGCATGTTTAAGGTTTCTTTTTGAATTTAAAAAATACATAATTTTCCTGCTTTCTGCTATTCTGTAGTCTCTTTAACAGCAGGAGACTTGGATCGCTCTGTCCTACTGCACACTGCAATGCCATCAGATTTAAAAAACTTCATTTAATTTCTTAAGATTTTTATTTCGTACCACAGACTTGTATAAATCATGATTATAGCCTTGCTTTTCCTTTAGGGAAATGGCCACTACCTTTGCTCGGCTCTGTCAGCAGGTGGATATTACCCAGAAAAACCTGGAAGAAGAAATTGCTAGGCTTTCCAAAGAAATAGATCAGCTGGAGAACATACAAAGCAGCTCCAAGCAGCTGAGGTAAGTCTGGTTGTGACTGGCCATGAGCAGATTCCCAACCCTGCTGATGTAAGTGGGATTAGCGCTTGCTTAGTTCAGGTTGAAATGAGGTAGGTGCAGGTGCAGCAGGGTACACAGCAATGCCTGTTTCCTTTAGTTGTAACTGAACAGCTCTGGTTAGGTTAAATCAATGTAGGCTTCTACCTAGGCGAATGAACAAAGCTCCCAGAATGTTCTTCCTTAGCTTGTTTTTATCTTTGTCTCTATTTTATGGGAGAGATGAGTTTCTCATATTAACCTTCTTGAGCAATCTGGTCTAGTGGGAGGTGCCCCTGCCCATGGCAGGGGGTTGGAACTCGATGATCTTTCTATGATCATTCTATGATTCTGTAGGTAAGTTAGTTCTGCCCAAAGAACCTTCCTCATAGGAGAACACGAGAGAGCCGCATTGTACGCCATTCAGTACAATACTGTTTTCCAGTACCAGTAGTAGGTATTTAGACAGAAGAAAAACTTCCAGTAATTGGTAGTTTAGGTTCTTAGAGGCAGCTTCAGCCCTTGTTCCCATGTGCTTTTCTCCCTGCCGCAAGCCTGCCCTGGCTGGGGGCTGTCTCTTGGTCTCAGGCATTCCAGACCACCATTGGATGAAGCCCAGCTCTGTGGTGCACCCCTGTGGCATGGTGAATGGCGCGTGAATGGCATTCGTGAGGAGTCCTCTGCCTCCTTCCAATTGCAAACCTCTCCCAAGGTGAAGGTGGAAAAGAAAGGCCAGAACTGGGGAAGTCCCACGTGGGCCTGGCCCAGCCTTTGGGGAGGAGGACATGTGGAGCAGGCTGCTGGCAGCCCTCTGCTGCCAGGCCAGGCCCCATGCTCGTGAGGTCCCAGGCTCTGACCAGGCAGCATATTTAGGTTTTCTCAGTGCGGTGGGTTTCAGGAATAGAGGAGCAGAAATTAAGCACTGATGCTGGTTACTGCATTGAAGTAAAGCCACCGCTTTTGTTTGTTTTGCAGGAATAAAGCCATTCACCTTGAGAATGAACTAGATGGCTTCAGCAGGCACTTTCTTCAGAACAGCAAATAAAACATTGTTGCCAACTTTCCCAGTGATCCTTTGTAGGACAAGGTAGAATTTTTACAAATGACGCTTCTCCCGTGTGGAGTCACATGAAATGATTTCTATTTTAGATGTTCCTTTCATTACATTTGTTAATCGTTCTAAAAGGTTGACGGTAAATCAAAATGAAGAGCAGTGGTTCTTGTGTGTCATGTTTTGCAGATTTGCGGTTAAAAAATATCTTAAACACTAAATTTCTTGGGGCACTTGACAATAAAAACACAAATCCTCACTGGTTTCCATTAGTACTTAACAGTGGCAAGTCTCGCTTCCTGGCATCCAGGAGTTTATGCCGGGAGAGAGAGCTTATTACGGTTACCACTGTCTCCTAGTTTGAGTTGTTTAGGAATTACCTGGGGATGGAGGATGCTGCTTTTTCATGAGTGTGTTTAAGGATGGAAGATACAAACTCTAGCATGGAGAAGGACTTTTGACTTGTTTTGAAAGGAACTGAAATTGTGTTGGGCAGCAGTTCTCTTCTGTAAATGGAAGTGAAAACTGATAGTAAAGCACAGAGCCTTCACTAATGAAATGCAGTAGGCTCTAGTTTCCCTTCTGGATAACACATTTATACAAGATGGCATTGCTTAAGTAAAAATAAACCTATTTCAACAAGCCTGTCTTGCAGCTGGTGAAGCAGTGGAATGGTCATTTGCATGTGAGAGCATCCCTTGCGGGGAGCTGCAGGTACCTGTTGATGCCACCCAGCTCGTGTCCAGGCAAAGAGAACTTGCTGAGCAGGTGTTCCATGTTGGGGGAGGAAGCTGGGGGTGTGGGCCTCGACCTTGAGCTCCTGCTGCTGGATTAACGGCACAGGAAGCGGCTGGGTTTGAGAGTTTGTACTTACGCACCATCCTGCAGTTCCTTGGTTGGGCTGTAGCCCAGCTCTTTCCTGGGTTAGCCACAAGGCAGGTGTGCTGCAGTATCCACCTTTACTCATGCCCAGCAATATGAAGCCTCTTTAAAAAAAAGGCACATTTTTGCTGTTGCATCTGCACTCATTGAATGTTTTCTAACTAGACTTTTTAAAATAACTTATTTTAAGAGAGAAAGCCTTTTCAGAATATTTATATATTTTTATGCAACTGTTAATGTGACTAAATGAAAATCAACTTTAAACTAGAGATGTAGGGATTTGCTGTTTTCCAGTAAATAAGGGCTATCTTAAGGAAACATTTAAAATCTAATGGTAGGGACAGGTTGTTGTTGGCAAGCAAAGCATGCCCCTTTCACCACACTCTGTCTTGCTGTTTGTGTCTGACTGTGCTAGCACAAGCGCTGCTCTCCTGGAACTGTGTCAGTAGCAGCAAGTGTGAGGAGCCTCCAGGCTTTCAACAGGAACTGAACTACAGCACTGAATGACAGCCCAGCCTTGTTGTGTGTAAGGTTACAGATGTGTGTTAATGCTCTTTTCCTGGAGCATTTAATGGATGTTGTATGAAGATAAAACTTACTTGACATGCATGTGTTCTATAGAGTTATTTATTAAAAACAGTGCTACCCCTTTGCTGTAGTCAGTTATTTGGCAGCTGTATCCAAGGTGAAAACCCACACTGTAGCGCTCTGGCAGCTCTGTACATACCCAGTACAGGGCAAAACTGCTGAGGTTGAGTTCAAAAAGCTGTTTCCTGCAGCCAGCTGGGCATTCCACACAGCTTACTGCCCACTTCAGTGTGCTGGAGAAAAGCAGTACTGATACGGACCTAACAACGGAGTGCTGTGACAGTGTCTGCCCCTGATGGGAGTGTGGTGGAGTGAGCAGGGATTCTAACACCGAGGATGAATGAGTGTTCTAAAACCTGGGTTTATTTCCAGTCTGGGACGTGTGGGTAACTTCCAGCTCACCACACTGGAGCATAAACATGCCTCTCACCTTCCTCAGGCAGAACACACACAAAGACCTTCTGCTTTGGGGAAGAAAAAGCCGTCTCAGTTAGCATCTGGTCTAGGGCATTTACTTGCGCAGCATGTTGCTGTTGCCATTGCAGATGCATAGGCATCAGCTTGGCTCATTGTGCCCAGGTAACTGGGTGCAAGAGTTAGGTGTGGCTCTGTCCACGTGCAGTGTCAACAGGAACAATATGGATGCTGTAATAAAAGAGTCACAGGTGCCAGAGTCTGGTTAAAAGCACTTGTTTATTGGTTACAATATCAACTCATGGCAACATCTTTCACTGAGCCACTGTACAAATACAAAGAAAAAGATCCATCGTGGAAAAAAAAAGAAGCTATAAACAGAGTTCATAGCAAGTGATTTTTTTTTTTTTTCACAGGGAAGTCTTTTTACAACAGCACTGTTAAAGAACAAATGGCACAAGTCCCTGGTTTTTTTAATAGCTTAAATAAAAGCTTTAAGACTGTTTCTGAATACATACACAATCCAAAGGCAGTGCAGAATCACTTCATAATTGGTAACATTACTGAAGTTTTCCAAAGTAGTCAGCAACAAGATAAAAAATGAAACAAACCAAACAGAAACCAAGCTGATGAGAACTGCTGGAAACTAAAGGCAAATTAAAACCAAGCATGTTCAGAAGCACTTTTTTTTGGACTCCTTTGGATGTAATATGTACTACAAGGGTTCAGATGCTTTTTGTTTTTTAAAATAAAAAAGGAGAAAAAACACAAAGAGAGCACCATTGTGTAAGTAAAACAAAGGCTTGAAATACCTAAGACTATTCCACTGAAGTCCATATTAGTTAAAACCTAAACATACTGTGTGGTATAAGAATGTCAGGCACATGTAATCTGTTATCAGTTATTATATCAATTAGTAACACTGTTCACACATTTACCATAACAACACTGCATTAACATTCTGCATGTATTTTACATAACCAGCAATTGGATAAAAAGGCTTGTGGTGCCTCCGAAGTGTAGGAAGTAGTTTTACCAGCATGCATGCCAGATTACGGTATACAAAGTGCACCATCAACCCATGCTTAAGTACTTGTACAGGAAATGCTATCTCAAAAATCAGTCATTCTGCTACACGACCATTTATACCAACTAGTTTAATTAGCCAATACTCTCACCAACATCTTAAAGCACAGCACTAAACCTAGTGGAGGTGACAGTGTCCTCAAAGAGGAAAGACTAAGCACTCTTGGAATGTTTTCACAATGGTTTCATTCCACCTTAAAGTAATGTGAATTTCATTGTGGGACAAGCGGTTACACGAACTGAATTAAAGAGTAACTAGTTCCAACCCATGCATTACAGTAAGCACACTAGGACCAGCTGTTACAGCAGTTCAGCTTTGCCAGGTCAAGGTCAGGCCCTCCTGTGGCAGGGGGAAACACCCATTTAATCTGAGTTCCATTTGAAATTGACTGTGTTGTTGTCAATACACTGAACTATCTGTTCTGCCACATACTGCGACGTACCTGCAATTCAGCAAGGCAGAGGATAGCGATGTTTGGAAGAAAAAAAGTCTGGAGACAGAAACAGGCCCACAGTATTGGAGGAAGCGAGTACACGTCAGCATAATGCCACGGAGAAGTTTCTTGTGGTTTCCAGAATCTGAACCAGTATCTCTACCAAGGAACCCATGTCTGAGTCTACAAGGGAACAAGCCTGGGTTGGGCGCTTGCCTGATGAGTATTTGCTATTGCAAAGATACTTCAACACTAGAAAATGCTGACAAAAATACTGTACCTGAATAAAATACATCTTGTTACCCAAAGCACATAGCTCCACTTTCCAAGCCATAGACAAAAGGCTGGGTAAGAGTTATGATGTCGCCACCGTTTGGGCACAGTGGTCTTAGTTCCTCCATTCCCGTAATTACACAAGTTGTGTGACATTCAGGTAATGATGTGGTTTGGCAACAAACCATTACAGATGGGTTCCAATGGACCCACTAGTGCTGCAAAACCTCCAGTGTAAGAAGGTTGTGGTGCACAGGCAGAAATCACACAAGACACATACCTGAACCTACATTAAACTATAGGCAGACTCCCTTTTGGTTGAGATTCAAAACTGGGAGTAAAACCTTTTAAGTAAAACTGAAGAAGGGTCATTTTATTACCTTCCTCATGCTAGGAGGAGTTTGAGCTTCTACTATAAAAACCCCATCCATTTTAGTAAAGGCATCAATCTTGAAAGGCCACTGATCACTGCGGAAAGAAGGAAATAACCCAGCCTGTGCACGTTCGTTATTTGGCCTCATATAATAGCAATGCCTTACACTGAATCTGCGGGCTTTAAACAAAAAAAACCAACCAAAATCTAAGCTCTATCCAGGACAGTAACTCAGCAGCACACATCACCTTGGTGGGATCTACCACCAGCTTCCTACAAGCTCCCCAGAAGCATCAATACCCTTTTTCCCCCTGTTGTGCATGGGCTCCTTCCAGGTTTCCTTGTTCACCAGCACAGAAGGAACCACCTCAGGACCCATGATACTACAGACACTGGTTAACTGGATGGCAGAAGCTGGCAGATACCTGCATGATGCTTTTGGAAACCTCATTAGCATGTAGTTGGCATTCCTTATTTTAAAAGCAGCTGAATCCAACAGACAGTTGCCCATCAAACGATGACAGTGAAATTATTTGTGGCAATCCCTGCTCAAGAACCATGACCACGTTACAGTCTACCTGAACTGCTGAGAAAAGTTATATACATCTGTAAAATTTTATTGGAGTTTTGCAAGTAGAAACTAGTTCTTAATACCAGAATAATGTAAAAATGGCACCTGTCTTCTCAAAGGTGTTCATTAGGAAATTGGTTCAAAACACTTCTATGGAAAACCATTTTTTAGAAAAGGAAGATTTTCTTAAAATGCCTCAGTAACAAATTTCCAGAATGATTCGCTCAAGGCAGCTGTGAGTTAAAAACAACAAGTGCACCACTGAAAAAAGAAACCATGTCTGCAAGATCCCGAAGAGCTGCTCGCTTGAAAGAGTAACAGGAATTCCATAATAGTTCTGTTAATGCAGACATCATAAAGCAAAATGCTCAGGCATCCCTGTGACGTACAATACAGTGTGATTTTGGTCCTACACCGCAGTCTGCTGTCAGGAAATGTCTCCTTCTCCAGCACAAGGCTCGCCTTTTTGTAAAGGTGAATTTACTGTGATTGACTGGTACGTTTCTTGGCACCTTCACCATTACAGACATGGCAGGTTTATAGGCACAGTCTGGAAGTACCAAAATTTAGGATTTAAAAATGGCAGAAACTTGACAAGGAGTCATCTTGGCCACAAATCAGCTGTGGTGTATTACAAGATACGAGGCCCTTTTATTTCCTACCTGACCCCAAGATATCCAGGCTCCCCACAGCTTCAGATGAGGGCAGATCAACATTACCTTCCAACCTGATGATCTAAAATTTGCATTATCTTAAAAAAAGCCACTTATGAGAAGCCAACAGGACTTAATTCCCTTTTCCAAAAATGCCACAGACATCCAGGTTCCAAGAGAACATCCACTGCAAGTGCAGGAGTGCTGCCAGGCACCAAGAAGTTAACTGACCTCGGGTCACTTCAAACAGGCATCAGTCCCTTGATTTTCCTACTGCTACACTCACCTGTACTTTATCAGAACCTATCATTATAAGCAGCTGACATCAAAACCAGAATAAAATCAGGAACAGAAGAGGAAATGGCTAT